GCTAAATCTGCAAAGTAAGAGTTAGCAAAGGAAATCTTTGACAATGACTGCATGTCTCACGTTGCAGCCCCTTCCTCCCCCTTTTTAGCTGTTTATGCTAAATCACTTTTTATTTGCCCCATGGAAAAAGCCAATGCCCAAGATGATGATACACGGAATGCAGCATCTCCCTTAACCCTTTCCAAACTCCAGAAAACTCAGAAAAAAAGGTGGAGTTCACTCGTCTCTCAACAAAAGCACAAAACAAACAAACAAACAAACAAACCAAACAAACAAATAATGTCTATCAAAGCAGAAAAAGGTGCTTTCCCTTAATCTGCTGATACACACAGAATATCACGGGAATAACACCCCTCTTCTGGCCCTCCCTGAGCGATTCTTTCCTCTGTGAACACATTTTGCTCTGAACAGGGGGAAAAATGACAAGAAAATCAACTGCAAGATGGCAGTAAAATATAACCCAGGTCCCAAAAGAGCCCCTGGGCCTGTGACTGGACCAGCCCTTTAGCATTAAAACCCTCAGGAATATTCTGGTCAAGGACCATTAGATCAGTGAGATGGCAAGGAAGTGACCCTCCTCTTCAGCACAACGGCTGAGGGAGATGAAACAGAGTTTATAATCAAACCAACCTGTTTGAAGAGTGGGGTTTTGTGGTCCCGGCTCAGCTTAGCTCAGCACTGAGGGAAAACTGCTGTCACCTGAGGGAAAACTTCTGTCACCTCAGGGAAAACTACTGTCACCTGAGGGAAAAACTACTGTCACCTGAGGGAAAACTACTGTCACATGAGGGAAAGCATCTCTCTTGACACCTCAGGGAACGCTTCTCTCATCTGAGGGGAAGTTTCTCTCCTGCTCATGGTCAGTGGGGATAGAGCCAGATTTCAGACATCTTTCTTCACCCTTTCACTCCTTCCCCACAGCTCGGCAGTCCCTGGGGCTGGAGGGCGGCAGTGGGATGGGATCCCCTGCAGAGCCAGGGTTTTGGGTGTTGGCCATTTTGATCGTGTAAATATTAATTTCAGTACCTCTCTGAATCCACTGTATAACGTAACATGGAGGAGAGGCAAATGTTTTACAGTTGAAGTGGCATTTCCAGTTCAATGCTCCGGTCCCGTGGGCTGGGATGTGGTGGCTCTGCGGCACCTTGGATCCCGGATCATCAGCTCACGCTGCTGAGGGCCGTGACTGCTCAGAGCCTTGGAATACAGGTGGCACTGCCTGTTTATGCTTGTACACAACATAACAACATAAAAATAGAAAAATTATTATTAATATTAGAGTAATACAATAATGTAAATATTGTTTCACACAGTTTGCGAAAGAACTAGCCGTGGTGTGAGGCTGTGCCCAGCCAGTCCATCCCCTGATTTCAATACTGAAAGAAAAACACATGAGAATATATTTTGGGGTTTGCTAAGTTTTAGATTCATAAAGAAACGTGGAAATCTAATGGTGCTTTCAAACAGAAAAAGGTAAGGCACTTCATGTGGAAAGTGGGTGCAAAACTGGCATTCTGATATTTTTCAGATTTAATTTCTTCCTAAAGAAAAATTAGATGTCCAAAAGATTTATTTATTTATTTATTTTGAAAGTATTAACCTTTAAATGATACACGAACATAATCCTAATGGATGCAATTTCCTCTTGCAATTTTCTTCCGACATGGCACATTGGAAAGTTGTGGGACTGGCTGTCATTGCTTGTACTAAAGTTTTTTGCTCCTACCATAACCTCGGGATTACAAGGGCTCATTGGCAGGATAATGGCAGTGTTACTTCAAACAGCATGGTTCCTTTTAATTGTCTTGAGAGAATCTGACCATTTTATAAAAGGAAAACAAATAAGCTTATTGTTGCCAAAAAATCTTGGGGAAAAAAAAGAAAAGAGGCTGCAATAGTACTAAACAAAAGAAAAATTATCTATGTTCTTACTGAAATTTGATGAGATCTGCACAATTTAAAAAGCCATGCTTCTTTGGACTACTTTAAAGACTCTTGGTTATATTTTTAGACATTATAATGTTTGTTTTAAACTTAATTTAAAAAAAAAAGAGGCATGTTTAATATTTTTTCAGCATGAAGTAGTTTATCAAAGACTTTGGGACAATCTCATGAAAATTCACCAGGATCTACAAAATGAAAGGCTCAAAGGAAAAGTATGAGTTAATTTGTGCTCTTTCATAAGTTTGGGTTTGGAACTCTCTTTTTTTGAAGGCTGGTCCATTTGGCTGACTGTTTTTCTGGTCAGCTCCACGTGTATATGAACTGATGGACATAAAGAGTGTTTATTGTTCATTCCTTATTTTAAATCTGCTTGAAACTTTCACTGATAAAATCTAAAATGACCTGGCTTTACTTTGCCTACCATGGGTTCTAGTAGTTGTTCATATGTAATAATAATAAAAAAAAAAAATCATGTTGCAATTATTACTAACCTTTACTTTCTTCTTTCACTCTTTTTTTGCCTTTCCTCTTTTTCCATGACTGTGGCATTGAGAAAGAGTTGGTTCCAACCGCTGGTACTTATTTTTGGTTCATTAATTTTTGGCAAAGAAGGGACACTTAATAGGTCTGACGTTCCTGGCTAGGTGGTGATTGATCAAAAGTCAGCACAGTCAATGTTGTTATTTTTTCCAAACTTGTAATAATGTTATTCCCTAAGAGCCCACAAAACCAAAGCAATTAGGCTGGCTTGATAGGAGTGATGGTGGCTAACCAGAAGTGAAGACAGCAGCTTTCTGAGCTACCTTTCCCCTATCTCAAGTCTGCTGCAGTCTCATTTATAAAATGAGAAGGTAATGAATGTTGTATTTAAAGCACATTATCTGCATTACGCCAACTGTGCTCTTCAGGAATGTGACATTGTGAGATGAGATTTCCACACACCTACAGGAATGAGCAGACACTGTATTTATTAGCCTAGTAAAAATACAATCTTATATCAATAACACCCAGGCTCTCTCTCCATGTCTTCCTGTTTGTGTTGTGTGTCTGTGTCAGCCTTGTTCTGAGCCACTGTTGCCAGGTGTACTCGCCAGAGTCTGCTCAATTGGAGCTATGAATAGCAGCCAAAAATAGCCAGCCCTGAGCAGAAGCCCCAGCACTCAGAAAGTGCCTGCAGAAGGTACACACAGCTATTGGCTGCTGGGGTTTGAACTTCTCCACTGGAGGTGGAGTTGTGACTGGCAGGGGATGTGGAGCTCTGTCAGCTCTCTGGGCAGGCTGGTTACTGAGCACCTGGGTGGTAACTTCAAATATTCAGGTTCTAATCCAGCCTTTAACTGTTGAGTAATGAACACTTTTACTTAGCCAATACCTTGCTTGTGACTTGATTTCCCCATCTCTGAAGTGGGAGGACGCTACTCATGAAATGGAAAGACTGGATATTCCAAGCAAAAGCCATTATGGCTATTACTGACAGAGAAAATATCCCACTTGGATTGATTTGGGATTTCCTAATGTTGGTAATACACTTCTGAATAAGGTGGTACTGCTGGCTTTCAGTGGGTGACATTCAGCTTTGCACAAATTTGGTTTATGTGGGTCTGTTGAAATTGTTTATATAAATGTGCTTTCTATACATTTCAGTAACTCCCTTTTGCATCTCTGAAAGGATCTCTGTGGGTGTTGATCAGGCCCAGAATATCGGACACCTGCCAAAACTCTGGCACAACTTTTTTCTTCATTTGGACACGTACGGCAACTTAGAAAATTGAGAATGGCCATTTTGCCTTTATCTCAGTAGGTTTGGGGTCTCCCTAATTCTGATAACTCTGTTTTGAGAAAATGAGGTTTGAGTGAGCCCCTAGAAACTGCTTCCAGGGTTAAAGAAAACAGCAAATGGGTATGGTCTGCTAACCAGTGAAGAAACTCTGGGTTGCCTGCTGCAGCTGGTAGACTTCCAGGAGGGGTCAGAGAAGGGAAAACTCAACTTTGGTTAGGAATATTGTTGGATAACAAGGCATGGCAGGCTGAATTCTCAGTCAGAGTCTTCCTATATAATGACAGACACAGCAGGACGTCGCTTTCTTTGGATGTCAATGCCTGACTCATTCTTGTCTGAGCCTTAGTAAAGCTGAATTGTTGGTGCTTCAGAGCACCAGGGACCTGAAAGGTGTCTACTGAAGTTTGAGCTTGAAAGGAGTGAAAGACTGTGTGTTATTTGAACTTCAGGAAGGAATGAAAAAAATGTTATCTAACTGTAGTGCTAAGTCATCTTAGCCTGGAAAGTGTTAGGAGCTGCTTAGGTCAGCTGAAAGATTGGGAAGGAAAACACTGACTCAAGTATTTTCTCATGTCAGCAGAGGGTCCCTGCTGCAGTTTGGGCTGAGATTTAGAAGTGGAAATCTGAAGGGGAACATTATAAACAGCAGCTGTTTTAAAAATAGCCTCATTCCTCTGCTTCTGACAATTGCATAAAGCCATAGGAAATCCTGCAATAGCTGTCCCTGCTAATTTTTCAATAAGCAATATTCACATCTCAGTTATTTTCTAGCCTAGTTGCATTACTTAGTGCTTGTTTAAAAAAACCTTGGTTATACATTCTTTCCTTAAATTGGCTTCATCTGAAGCACAAGTTTCAGATGCACCTAAAATGATTAAGAAGCCTGATCTGACCGAATCACTCCTGAAAGTGAGACCTGCCATTCATGAAAGTTTTATCTGTGGGCTATTGCTAAAATGAATCAGGATATAATGTTTTTCAACTTCTTTGGCTGAAGGTCTCAAGAACCTTGTAAACTTCTAAATTAATAATTTCATTCTATCTAACTGTAAAAATATTTATTGAGCGTCCCCCTCATATGATGACATCAGTGTGGCTTGCCCTTGCTTGTGGTAACATCTTGAGGGGCCAAAAGTCAAATTGTTGATTTCAATTCAAAAAGCTAATGCCCTCTTCTAAAAGTTGTGTTATCTCAGATCCCAGTGTGGAAAAATGAATCAAGGCACTTCAGCTTTTCTTCTGCCACTGTGTTTAACATTTCTTTCTTTTCCCTCTAAAGTGTCAGGAAGTGGTGCTGAGTTGGCAGCAGTATACACCATCCCAGAGGAGGCTGTAAAGTAAGTGTTAAAAATATTTAGTCCTGTCTATAAAAATGAGTTTTACTGAACTCCAAAAAAATTAGTAACAGAACTGCCTCTTCCAGCAGTTTTTGTGGTTATTAATAGATGTTAGCAAGTTAATTATTTTCCAATGGATGTATAAACTCTTATCTGAATTCTCTATCCAAATTGAATAGAGATTGATAAAATTGATAAAATTTCTGTTAACTCCTTTAAACAGAATCAAATTTACCACTGTATAAATTAGTAGGCTTGTGGGAATGATTATTAATTCATACAATTGAATCTTGAGAAGTCCTCTCTTTTTGATGGAGAGCTTGCCTTGAAAATTCAAGTTACAATTCACCTCTTCACTTGTTTCACCACAGAAGTCACTGTAATTAAGGTATCTCAAACACCAGAATAAATTTAGGAAGCTGTGTTGGAAAGATAGCCCTTCATCAGAATATTAGAATTATTTCTTGTTACACCTTTTTTATTTAGACAGTTACACTGTTTCTGATCCTCATTGTCAGCACGATAATGCTAACATCAATAGTGTAATTTAATTTATTGAAGGCAATATCATATCTGCCAGGAGTATTTCAGCCTTTGCTGTTCTCCTGGTAAAGAAAAAATGAGATTTTTTTTTCTCCCTCTAATTAAAACAGAATTTCATTTTAAAGGAACATCTATGTTTTGAATACCACGATACTCACGATACTGATTCCAGTGTTGTTATGTCCTCACAGGCTTATTACCAGTATTTTATAGTTTTTCTGGGGGTTCAAAATGCCACTGGAGGACAGATGACACACTGTAGTGTACCCTTACCATCTACAGTGTTACCTTGTGGTCTCAGGTTGCTTTTCCCTGAGCAGTTGGGTACTATCAGTTGTCAACTGCCCATCTATTGTTTCTTCCCTGCAGAAGCTCAGTGAGTGGGAGATGACAGAGCAGCCACACTGCCCATGCTCGGGGAGCAAGAGAGCTCCAGTAGTGACATAAATTATTGGAAGAGTGTTCATCCAGGGAATTGCAGACAGACAAAGCAGCTCTGATGAAATGCATCCCTGTCAAAGGCAGTTTGTTTCAGCTGAGGCTTGAATAAGAGCACAAGTGAAAAACAGAGTAACCTGGTGAGGGGGAGAGCAAAGTGGAGTCACTGTACGTAAGTATTTTCCAATAATTTCTTACATGCTTCACTTATCTGATGAGCAGATTGCTCTCTGTGTGTCTGGACACAATTTTTCATCTTTGAAGAACGAAAATTGCATTTTCTTTACTGTGATGCACAGGCAGATTATTTCTTTGCTGCTCTTTAAATACTTAAAATATTTTATATAAAGAATGGAATTTGAAATATTTGTTGGGGAGAAAACATTTTTGTTTTGCCTTCCAAGTATATGCTGATACTTTACACCAAGTATATACTGATACTGTGATGTGTGGTCAATACCTTTTCATGGGACATGCTTATAAACCAATAATGGTCGTATTTAAGACTCAGTGTTTATAATTTCCATTTATAGAACTGTTTATGTTTCTACTGTTTTCTTCAAAAGTCAGTTTAAGGGAGGGTGTTAATAGCAATAACTTACCTGCATTTACACATGAGCAAACCCAGTACGTAAAAATGAGCCAACTGGAATGAGCGTGCAGAGAATTTTATGACAGTCTGAGATAAACTGTGTTTTTTTAATGAAAAATTCTTCTTTCCTTTGATTCTTCCCAAGAAGGTGTGTGTTTGATTGTGATAACTACAGAATAAGTAAATTTGGGAGTTACCAAAAACTTTAGGGGACTGATTTTGACTGGAACAAATCAGCTCCAGCCAATGGAAGATTAAGGAACCTAATTAAGGTTAGGTAGCATTGTGCTACCAGACTCAGACTGCTATGACACATGGAATAAAAAGGGATCATTTGGATTTTCTGAAACCTGGTTATTAACCTGCAATTATTTCTCAGTATGTTTTCCAAGCCCTACTCATTAGCAACGAATTCAAAGCTCGTGTTCCTGCTATAGCAACAGCCCTTCTGGTTTTTAGAACATTTATGGGGAACTGTGGCACTGCAACAGGCTACATTTTTTCATGTTTCATAAACTGATTATGATGTCTTTTTGAAGTGGAAAACGGGGATATAACTCAGCCTGAGTCTGTCTTCTCTGGAAGAAATTGATTTGGCTGTATCTTGTCAGAGGCTGTAGATAAATAGTGATTCATGTAACTAAATAGCCTCGTGGAGACTGCTCCTTCTGATGGAAGAAACTTGGCCTGCACATGCATGTTACAGTTTAATTGACTGCCTTGGAAGTAGCATGACATTCTTGTCTGTACTCTTTCCACGTACTTCATGAGGTGGTACTGGTTTCTTTATTTTAAAGACAGTTTAATGGTTTTAAGCTCATGATAAAGAAAGTCTCCAAAGAACTTACCTCAAACTTCGTTCTGAGCTCGACACGAGCAGTGACAGAAGGGCAGCCAGTAATTCACTGAGGAGTTAATGCCCATTTCCTTTATTTTCAGTGTGATGGCATGTCTAATTACTCTGAGCCTTTACTGCTAATCTCAACAGGCCCTCTCTTGCACTTCTTGTCTTTATTGTTCCTACAGTTTCCCTGGTGTAAAGTAAGTGGATGATGCTATTAGATGTTATAAATCTTGGTTTTTACAAGTATTTTCTGCATGTATAGAATAAAGTGAGGACTCCTTGTTCAACCAAATTTAATGATGACAGCTAATTCTCCCTGTCATTAGAGCTGACTAGAAATCCTTTCCCCTAAAATCAAATCTGTTTCAGTAAAGTTATTATGAAAACTACAGCTGCTCTTTTTAGGAAGTTTTAGTAGAAACTTGGTCTCCTCCCCCCCAAAAAAGATAGATTTTTGTTCTAAAGAAAACTTATTTCCCCATAGATTTATGACTGAAAAAATCTCCTATATAAAATAATCTTGATATTTATCTGTTAGTTGTATTTATGATATTAAAAAAGCAGAGTGAAAGTCACCAACAAGTCAGATGAAAACATTCTGCAGCCTACAGCAGCTTCTGTGCTCCGTGGCCTTTCAGTTGCCTGAAGAACAATTGGGGAATTGCTTTAGAGAAGTCATAAATTGTTTGGGGATTTACTCAACAGATTCTAATTTTGGATGAAATATGTGATTATGGAAGCACATAATAAGCATTCTCTCCTACACTCACAAAGAGTTTTATTTTCAAATCACTCTGTGCTGCAAATACTCAGATTCTATTGTACTGTACCAGCCCCTTCACATGCTTCAGTCAGGTTCCAAAACAGACTCCTAAGGATGAAGTGATTTATTTTTTTCCTTCTAAACACATAAACAAACAGAATTCCTACTTGTCCTACAAGTACCCCTGTACTGGTGATAGGTGGGATGCCTCCCATTCTCCCTTAGAGCAGAGAAAAAGAGGGAAGGGCACAGTCTTTAGGACTTAGCCACTGTTTCTTGTGTTCTGGAGAGGAATGAGCAGGGAAGGCCTGATGGTAGCAGTAGATGGGGGTATTTGGCCAACCTCCCACCCAAGACAAAACGGGAAGAAATTATATCAAAATAACATGGCAAAGATGAGAACATTCTAAAAATTTCTGAGCCATGCTAAAACCCACGAGGTGCTCTTTTCTT